CAGCCACAGTCTGCTGTAATAAAAACAACCCAGATAAACCATTCAGCTCACAATCCTTGATGGGAGAACCAAGGACTCAGGCCATGGTGACATGCTGACTTTAAACAGACTGGTCTGTTCTTCACAAAAGGAATGGTCCTGAACGTGTTCAGCTGCTTCTTCTTGCCACTATAGTTCCACTGCTAGAGGTTATATGGCCATGTGGTAGAAAGGTCAGGCTGAAGAGCAGTGGTCCTGCCAATCAATACAGGAGAGGCAGCAAAAAAAAAAAAAAAAAAAAAAAAAGGTGTCCAAGGGTACAATGGAGCGGACAGAGGGGACACATAGACTTGTGCCAAACTAAAGTAACCATTCAATAACTGGATAATAACTGGATAACTGGTAGGATGTCAAAACCTATGATTGCAGAATCTGTCCTGAAGTGAAATATTCTCAAACTTTTGACAAATGTTAACAGCCTTTGCAGTTTTCTTTTAATACACCACCACACAATTAATCAAAGTCTTCTCCCTTTTAACAGTTGTTGGCATTCATACTAATGTCTTTAAAAGAAAAAAATAAGGCTCTAAATACCAACACACATGCAAAAAGAACTTAAAGATAAAAATAAATGCAATAAATATTAATACAAACATTTTCAGTCATTTTATTATTATTATTATTACATATTTAAAAATAGCTACACATGTGAACACAGTGAAAAATGTATCTGAGTTTTAGCAAATAATTCAATGTATGGCTCTAGAGCCTTACTAATTTCCTTGAAAATTACCTTGAACTTCTATACCGTCAGATCAAAAATTGGCTAAAAGACCATAAACAAAAGGGCAATAAGAAAGACTGCATTTTTGTCACAGCTGTCATGTGAGTCATAGATTTTCATGTGCTTTCAAAGTATCCGTGACTTTTGATATTCAGGGATTTTGCATGTGGGCTGGTAAACGTGATGGTTAAAGAGCTGAACCAATTTCTCTGAAAACCTTGAGTTCTGCCAAGTTAAACCCTAGACTGCACGGGAGGCTAATAGAGAGCAGGAGCTCAGCAACAACACTGTGGTTACACAAAGGATCAGACCAGTGAATTCTCACTGAGAGCTTTAATTCCTCCAGGGATAGAAAGATTTCTCTTTCCCCACAACATTTGCAGTTAGGCTGAATTTGCAAAGGCCAGCTCTGGCAAAATAATGTCTGAAGCTAAATGGCTTCTCACAGCAAAATACAGCATATTAATTACAGAAGAGGAGAGGAGAGGAGAGGAGAGGAGAGGAGAGGAGAGGAGAGGAGAGGAGAGGAGAGGAGAGGAGAGGAGAGGAGAGGAGAGGAGAGGAGAGGAGAGGAGAGGAGAGGAGAGGAGAGGAGAGGAGAGGAGAGGAGAGGAGAGGAGATTGTAACAGAAAAGCACTTCACCTGCATCCCAGCATTTGTCATGTCTCTATCATGACACTTCTATAAAATTGTAAGAGTACTGAGTCAGACCAAAGATCTGTCTGGCTCAGTACCCTGTCTCCAACACTGGCCAAAAGCAGATGCCCAGGGAAAATTATAAGCAAAAGATGCAGTGATACTTCCTTGGAACACTCTTCCAACTTCCAGCAATTTGCAGTTTGGGGACTTTCTGGTTTTGTATTTAATAGCCTTATTTAGCTTAGGTTTTTTTGCCATGAATTCGCCCACACACTTTTTGAAGCTGTGTAATTTTTTCTTGAAGTTACTGTCAGTGAAAATTAATCAAAGAATTCAGTACTAAACAATGATAATAAATAAATATTCAGAAAACCTAACCAAATTTGCCAAAGGTGTTGCCCTTGGTCCTGTGGTGTAACATTCCTTAAATAAATAAATAAATAAAAAGAAATAAGGAGAAAGAAATCTTTCTATCCCTCCATCAGTTGCCTTGTCACTTAACCAGTACAGAAAAGTGGTTGAATATCTCAGGATACACTAGAGCTAATTATACAATAGATCTGCTATATATACAAAATACATAAACGAGAAATAAAGATGGAAAAATAGTGTTTACAGTAAGAGATGCTGTTAATAGCTATTACAGCATGGAGAGAGATTTCAGACAGACAGATGATGGTTTCCTTAAAAAGCAATGATCAGACTATTCATCCATTTCCAACTGCACTTGTTCAAGTAGAAGATGAGTTTTGCAAAGGGATGCTGGTTTTTTGTTTTGTTTTGGTTTGTTTTTGTTTTTGTTTTTGTTTTTGTTTTGCTAATCAGTCTTAAGATCTATTGTTTCTTCTTTACATTCTGTGTTAGAAGAACAATTTCAGGAGCTGGAGAGCTGGAGTAAGCTTGACCAACTATATTCTTTTAAAAAATCATACTTTGAAAGGTCTTTCGACTATAATTAATTAATTTATCATAAGAATGATAAAAAAAAGGCCTTAAATCTTTCTCACAAACCTCTCCTATTTTGTCAGAGGTGGAATCCTCATATGCATTGGTACATATAAGAGTTGTGTCTGCTGTAACATGCCAAATTCCTTGGGGTACAGATTATGTTCTCCTCTATTGAATGTATCATCTCTGATCTCAGACCAGTTAGAAACACAGTGAGATTTTTTATTTTTATTTTATTTTATACTGGCACATTTTATTTTCATAAACACAAGTCGGGAAAAATCATGCCAATCAAAAAATCAAGCTGCAGAAAAGATTCTATGGACATTGTAGAAAATTTGTGGTATGGGCCTTTAAAGCCAGGTTGATTACACGGAGTAAATCAAAATTCTTCATTGCAATTCTGCATTCTGTTTTCAGAAATGCCAGGGCAATTACGTGTCCTTGATTTGCATAAGCAAGTATAGCATTCATGCATACAAAGGAATATTTGTAAGAGGAATAATTACAATGACATACCAAAATAAGATATTTGGTAGGGCATTGGGTATTATGGAAAAGTCAGCCTAATATAGCATCCTTATTCTACATGTACGTATCTACTAGTCACTGTAGATACAATAAAACTCAGAAATAATCATGTGCATTGAGACAGACCTTTGGTGTGGAAGATATCAGTTCAAATTATTGCACTTCTATGAAGTCAAATTTCACTAAAAGTGAGGTCTTCAACTGGTAGTGCTACTAGCTCTGTCTTAGATACCTACATTGGACACATACTTTGGAAAGACCTACTGCTTTGCAGGTAGTGTTTCCTTGGGATTCAAAGTTGCAATGGTCCAGGACTGTAGCACTGTGGTGGAGCTGTAGCACTGTGGAGCTGAAAAATGGTCATGGAGTAGGCCATGGAATGCCTGCCTCTGCCATTCAAGAATCATTTGCCAAAACAAAGGAAAGATCTTCTTTTCTTATGCTGCATTCCTGAATGTTTTATTTATCTTTTGGTCAATACAATACATTACAATACATTTGTTTTCTATTCCATGTACAAATCACTGAGACTTATGTGGTGTCTTTAGTACCTATCTGATAGGCAAGAAACCCTGTTTTCTTGAAACTACTCCCCTTTGTTTTTATTATTTTTATTTATTTTAGTTAAGGTACATATTTCTATGTATCCATTTGGGCAGATTCTATTGTGATAGGTTACTTTTTACTTTTAATGTTCTTGATCTCATCCCTTGAGGAGGGAAAGAAAGATTTTTAAATTACTTCTGCTTCAGTCTCTTAAACCAGTGGCCCGTGGGAATTCCACAGTGCCATCTACTGCAAGATACTAGAATAACTGATAATGCACCACTATTTTTCCAGTTGATCTTACCTTCCTAAGTTGTTTCAAGATCTCTCTTCTGCTCAGATTCCAGCATATTTTGTTACCATGCCAGTTTCTCTGGCTTTCTTTTGTGCTGTACTTGTGGTCATAGCGCTGCACTATTTGTTTCCAACCCTAATTTTTCTTTTTTCTTTTTTTTTGTTTTTTTTGTGGGTAGGTGTGGTAGAGCCATGCTGGTTTCTGAAGCATGACTATCCCCACTGCCAGTTCACTGGCATCATCTTTCCTTCAAGGAGACCTCGAGAAAATTCCCTTCAGAGTCTGCCCATGATGATTGTTCATTGGCTAGAGGGTGAAGTAAGAGATTCAAACCAAACAAAGCACTAACATCCTTCCTGAGGGAGCCAAATATGCTGTCTCTGCAGCTTCTGCTGGCATTGGAAGCAAGAGATCAGGAAAGAGAAATATACTGCTACTCAGTTTGAAAGTGCTAGAGCAGAGCCTGCATTGACTGACAATTCTAGGATGGCTTGGTACAGCTCAATACTTAGAATGGATCAAAGCAACCAAGGTTCACAAGATTGTGGCTTATTTTCTTTGACACTGCAAACTGTTTCTTTAAGATCAGATCTCGAAGCCAAGTGCTTCAGTGGGATACAAGTGGACTGTAGAGAACTTGAATTAATACTCTATCATGGTCTGATTTTCAGCTTATGTTTCTGTTTTATGGAAACATTAAGATTCACGGAGATACAGTAAGAAATGCTTATCGGTTAACACGATCACTATCTGACTTACTGTAAACCAATATTTGAAATAAAGTGTGTTTTGTTGTTGTTGTTTGTTTGTTTGTTTGTTTGTTTTTTCAGTATCTAAACAGTTTTAATATGTTAGAACAAATTTTCAAAAAGTTAATAGCTGATATCTTCAGACTCCGTATACTCAGGAAATTATTCTGTCCTCCATAGTTCTGCTGATAGGTATATCAAGGAAGCTTCACCTTTGACCATGGAGTTTGTAGCTAGAGAGGCACTTATCTAGCACTTGCCCACTACCTGGCTAGATTGTATTGAGCAGAATGCTTTTTACTGCAGCTATCACTGGCTGTAGTCTAAAAATCCCCGTAGAATAACAAAAAGGAAAAGGAATAGAATGGGGAACACATTAGGCTGCAAAATACAATATCCCTCCAAGCCAAAATAAGGTATGTTTATTCCCCAGACCACTTATCACCTCAAATTCGATTGATTATTGATCATATTAGGGGGTTAATACATAATTGTGCATATTACACAAACTGAGAAAAGAGAATGAACCCTGTTTATCAATTTATTTGTTTATTTAAATTACAGGATGTTGTGTACACACAAATGTTTAAACACTGGTGTATGCTTGACAATTCCAGGCAGGAAGATTTCCTTCATAACTATAAATAGATCTGTAGCCTGTTAAGCACTAGCACAGTCATTAACAAGTTCTGTTTATTCTCTGATCAGAAAATAGATCTACCTACCCATGCCAAAAAGACATCAATATTTCTAAAATTAGGCAGGGAGGTCAGTAATCCTTTAATAGTACTGTTAAAAATTGGCATCCTAATTAAGTTATGAATTGCAAAAGCTCTTTGAAACTGGAACTACTTGCTTAAGGAGCAAACAGATAAAGGAGAAGTTCTTCATTGACTCACAATTCCTTTCTATATAAGTAATGCCCAGGAATCTGGAGTAAGGATTGACCCCAACTACACAAATGTCTTAAGAGCTTTTTTGCTGGTTAGTAGGTAACCTACAGAAACAATTTTAAGTGTGGTTTTATTTTATTTCTGTATTTCTGTTTTGTTAGTTGAGTAAGACGGAATTAATTCTTTACTTGCACTTAAGTTGTTTTTGTTTTATTTTGTTCGTTCCATGGAAAAGGCAGTTGGCAAACCACTGAAAAATGTTAGCAGAATTAGAGTATTCCTCAACATGGGGCGCTGGACTGTGCTTGCAATGACCAACATTTCCAAGAAATACTCAAAGTTACTGAGGATGCAGTGAGGTGGTTCCCTGCTAAGCAGTATAGAGGTGAGTCTGGCAGCGTTGCTATTAGTGAGTGCTGTAGAAAAGGGGGCCTTACCATGGTACCTGCAGAGTGGGACAGTGTCTTCAATGCCTGAGCCCTGATGGTCACTCATAGATTTCTAGCACACACAGAGGAAACTGGCAGTGTGACCCCATTTACCACAATCCTAAAATATTTTTTCAAAACTTTTTTTTTTTAATATTAAATCACAGCTCTCTTCTACCACACAAGGGATCCCCTTGAAGCCCTGATGGTCCACCTCTGCAATTAATCCAGAGTGTCCAGAAAGTTCACTCAAGCTCCCCACTTTGCAGAGAAGTGTAACTTCTCATTGGGCTGGGGGCTATCTTCTCATGCAGAAATGACACCCCCTCCCCCCCTGGGCATATGCTTAGTTCATATTTACCTGATCTATTAAAGGCAAAAGCGATTCTGACAAGAGCAGTAATTACAAGAATGTAATGTTCATTTCTACAGAAGGTACGGTGTCTGCATGCCTGGGAAGGGCCCAAGATGCTTACAGCATTTCTATTTTCCATGCTGTGGTGAATTTGGAACCTTTACACAGCTTAAGACAGAATAAATTTCACTCCAGCACAAATCTCTTGATCATTTCTCCTTCAAATGTGGGAAAACAACACTGAGAATGTGGAAAGTGTAGAGCACATCATAAATCCATGGACACAGGAACTCAGAAAGCTGCATAAGGCACATAAGGTCTGTTATAAAGGAAGTACTGTGCTTTCATATTATTTTCTGTTTAAAATCTACATGTGTGGTTTGGGACAAAGGTCTTTTAGTGTGGAAGAAAGAAGGTTCAGTGTTTTTTTTCTTCTTCTTCTTCTTTTTTTTTTTTTTTCTTTTTTTCTTCTTTCCTAAAGAGAGTTACATCTCTGAAGAGACAGTGCAGAGATGTGCTCTAGTCATTAACATACACTGCTGTGGGAAAGGTGAAATGTTTGAAACCACAGAAATAATGCAGAGGAGAACTCTGCACCCAGGATATAGTTCGTGCCTGAATAACCAACAAGTGTTTAAGCAAAAATAAAGGTTTGAATGCTGGCTGTAATTTGGTGAGTTTCACTATGGTTTTCTAATCCTAAAATTAGGGTGCTTTGAGGAAATCTTCCTCCACCACCCAGTCCTAATAGAAACCATAGTCTTTTTCCTCGTTTTTTTTTTTGTTTGTTTGTTTTGTTTTTTGTTTTTTGTTTGTTTTTTTTTTTTCAGAAAGTTAGAATAACCCCAACATTCTCACTGTTTAGCTGCTTCTGTCTCAGTAGCAGTACCTGAAAAGCCACGTGCAGGTTCCTACTGTTACTTTAGAAAAGAAGCTGAAGAGTTTATATGTCTGTGTTGCCAGGCTTCTTAGGGCATGTGGCTCTGTTTCACAGAATCTGGGCAACCTTCTGTTTTCCTTTTTTCTTCTTCATATGCTCAACATGCCTATCATTTTTGCTGTCACAGATGGAATGCAAAATTAAAATCCCCAGAGTACTTTAAATACACATAATCTAGACAATCTAAAAACAAATTGTACATGAGTCATCTATTTAATAGAAGAAGTCAAATCATCAGCATCAGCTGTCACAATAAATGCTATCAACTCTATTTTTGCCAGTATATTTTCTATATTAGGGACAGACATAGAAGTTGAATTTTGCAATTCACATTCACTGTGCTTACTAAAGCAGCAGAGTTTAGGTGGGGCTTATCCACCCTCTCTTTCAATCTTTGCACAGTGGATTTCTTTCCATAGCCAAAAGAGTTACTTTGTGTTCCCTTGAAAGTTCGAAAGTGGGAAGTTTAGAGACACATTTTAGTTGTCTATCTTCAGATAGGGTAGATGATGCCCTAGGCACCACAAACCATACTGACTTGACCTGAATGTGAACGCAGCCCAGTCTGACCCATGCAGTTATGGTCTTTGATACTGCAGCCAGCCACATCTGGATGTCCTTACCCTTTCGTACCTGGAGCAAAAGAGTTATAGTTCTCACAGCACTGCTGGCTGCAGAATCACACAACTTCTACTCTGTTGTAAAGTTAAATCAGAGGTACCTAGAGTTTCAAGGATGATGAAGTCCAAGTTTTGTCCTCATTCACACTGATGAAACCTCAGAGATGGTTTCCAACACATCTGTGGAATAGCAGAACACTGGAACGAATGGAAAAAAAGTGCTCTTACCACAAATGCAGTAGGACATTATGCAAATGGCTTTCTAGCACCTTTCCTGAAAACATACCTCAGAATATATTCTCACCTACCCTGTGAAGCTGTTAAAGGAGTATCAGAAGGACTGTTATAAGTACAGTGCAGGATGAATGAGCTTGAGAACCCACTGACTTCCACAAGGACAAAACAGCCTGAAGCTGAGGTTGTTTTAGGAGCAATATAGCCTGACTTCATTAGAAGAAATATAAAGATTCATATCATCTGTGGCATATCTTTTTTTTTACCTGATTTCACCTTAACATTCATTATATTATATTTTCCTCTTTTCCTTGTATAAATGCACTTTTTATTAATTCAAAGTAGTACTTTCAAAACTACATGTCTACAGCATAGCCTCTAACACAAGGCTTCTAATCTAAATAAATCTGCACAGTGTACAGTATGATTTACATGATGGTAAATCTTTGTTAGATTGTGTGGTGGAAAGAAAAAGTAAGGTAATATTTTCCTCTAGGTAGGCTTGCTCAGATGCAATGAATTTCAGGAGTTAATATTGCTTTAGGAGAAATTGATTTTTGCTTGTGGCACAAATATGCAGAAATGCCCAAGTGCATCTAGAACTAAAGTTACATGAAAGATTAATCAAACTAATGGAAATCACAAAGACTGTTTCACTGTGCTTTATGTAGCTATTCTATAGCACTGCAAATTGCAGAGCAGTGACATAGCTTGCATGTGGCTACTGCTGCTCCTGTAGGCTGCCGTGGGGGAACAATTGCTCTTGTCTGCTCCACAAACGTGGGTTTTGACAAACTGGGAGACTGTTGAAAAGCTAGGTTTGTTGTTCAAAGAGTTTTGTCTGTGCTGTCTTTCATGCCTGACCATTTATACCACCCCAATAATATCTCCCTTTGTGAGAAGCAAAGTCTTTAGTAGGCTCCAAGGAGGATCTATGAGAAGCCCCCATGTCATAGGACTTTGATACCAGTGGCAGTCATTTTACCACCCCGTTCCATGTACTCAGGCTCCCTGGGGTTCTCCTGCAGATGCTGCTAGAAGCAGTTAGTTGCCTCGCTTCCTTCGCTGTATCAGACTCTTGAGAATCCTGTAACCCAGTTGTCTATTCAAGAAGCCCAGGGATGCAGCAAACTTATTGAACTCAGCTCAATTCCAAAAACTTGATTCTCCTAAATAATGTCAGCATTTGACTTCTCAGCAAAGAGATAAATAAAAAGCCTTTGCAGAGCTGTGAGGGTGGTAGCATCTTTTTGACATATAGAATAACCTGACTATATATAGTCAGGTTATTCTATATGCCACATTCCATAGTGGCAGTTCACCTCTGTTTCAAGAGGTTTGTAATAGAGTGATCCAGTAAAGCAAACTCTCACCCCAAATTTATATACATGTCTGGATTTTGAAAAAAGCACAGTGGTGATATAAATGTCAGGAAGAGATTTATTCATCCTCAGTTATATTGGATTTGAAAGCACTTGCAGAAACCTCAAGATTCACCATTAAGATGGTGATGCTCACTTACATGTAAAAAGCTGTCATCACAGTGCAGATAATGAGATCATTAATCACAGAATCATAGAATATCCTGAGTTGGAAGGGACCCATAAGTATCACTGAGTCCAATTCCTGGCACCACACAGGTCTACCCAAGAATTCAGACCATGTGACTAAGTGCATAGTCCAAATGCTTCTCAAATGCCAACAGGCTTGGTGCAGTGACTAGTTCACTAGGGAGCCTGTTCCAGTGTGCAACCACCCTCTCGGTGAAGAACCTCTTCCTGATGTCCAGCCTAAACTTCCCCTGCCTCAGTTTAACACCGTTCCCGCAGGTCCTAGAACTGGTGGTTACGGAGAATAGATCAGCGCCTGCCTCTCCACTCCCCCTCGCAAGAAAGTTGTGGGCTGTGATGAGGTCCCTCCTCAGCCTCCTCTTCTCCAGGCTGAACAGAACCAGTGATCTCAGCTGCTCTTCATACCTCTTACTCTCTAGGCCCTTCACCATCTTCGTTGCCCTCCTCTGGACATTCTCCAACAGTGTAATGTCCGTTTTGTACTGTGGTGCCCAGAACTGCACACAGTACTCGAGGTGAGGCCGCACCAGCACAGAGTAGAGCGGGACAATCACCTCCCTTGACCTACTAGCAATGCCGTGCTTGACGCATCCCAGAATACAGTTGGCCCTCCTGGCTGCCAGGGCACACTGCTGGCTCATATTCAACTTGCTGTCAACCACAACCCCCAGATCCCTCTCTGTGGGGCTGCTCTCCAGTGTCTCATTGACCAAGATAAGATTGTAAGATAGCTAGTAAGATAAGATATTAAGATAGAGTACTTGGGTTATCTTTACAACATCTGTACTTACATACATACAGCCACCTACACACATGTGCAGCATCTTCTGTGACAAAGTGTCTTTAATTCTCTGGAAAATCAAACAAACGTCAAACAAACATCACACATGCAGACTTTTCTAAATGCTAACATAGGCTTTTATTGCATTGTGTGTAAAGAGAGAAACAAACAAACAAAAATATACAGTGTATCTAAAATTCTTCCTTAAAATCCAGGCAGATTCCAGCAGACACCACAAACCTGTGTTAGCAATACAAGCTACAGGAGACAGGGGGTTGTATTGAAAAATTTTGTTCTACCATACCATGTAATAAACAGCTCTTTAAAAAACCTCTTCTGGTTACTGGCAGTGTAGGTAGGGAGAGCTAACCTCCCACCTACTGGAACTCTCTCAAGTCCATGGAAAGAATATCACTGATTTTACTCTGGAACTGGCTTTAAAAGTGCGCATATCTTACACAAAATCAGCGAAGTTGCCTTTCTGTGAAATAAGATTAGAAATTTGTCAAACTATTCTAAATAGACCTGGCTTATTTTTTCATTGAAATCATGCCCATCAAATATCTGAAGACATTTGTTCCTGTGCTGAACTATGTTATTCCTAGAATCCATAGTTAACCCCTATTAAGAACTGCTATATGCCTATAAATTCTCAGGAGTACTGCTATATGCCTATAAATTCTCAGGAGTAAACATATTTTTTTTCCTAAAACTGTTAACAAGTAATCATAGTTTACTGGCCTCTGTGTTTTTTCAAGGCATCTTTGGGATCTTGTATGGAAAAGTACAGTGTGTTACATACAGAAACATGTTTGCAGCATATACTGGTCTTGGAAACTTCCATGGCTTGGAAACTTCATGACAGTGAAGGATTTATTCTATAATCAATAGACATATTACATCCTTCTAAGAATCTATCTTCAACCTAAACCCAAGCATTGATGTAGGCCGTTTGGATTTATAAGGAGAGTGAATTTTCTGCTCAAACAAATGCCCAGCATTAAAATCTCCATCTTGAAAGGACAGCCTGAGTTTTAATAGGCATTTCAGTGCCAAGACATGTCAGTCAAATTATTATTGGCTCTAGCCTCTCACAAGCTGTTACATTCTTTACCTGCAGGAGAGTGGTACTCAAAAAGGTGCAAAATTCTTTTTTGCTTTTGAAAACACCAATGAAAGTTAAAAAATAAATTAAAAAAAAAAAATCACACAACTGAAAACCTCTGATCTACATACAAGAAGAGTAGATACATAAAATTCAGTGGGAACTGTCCTTCTGTCCTTTTAGAGATAAATTAAGTCCGCAAAGCCAAATTATTTAATAATTAATGTGACAATCCTTAAAAATATCTGAGTCCTGACACACACTGAAATGGACATGAGGTTTAGCCTTATTACTCCTGTTACCACACACGTGTGTGTGTTTGTACAGTATTACATTATGTTGCACAAGTCACAAGACTCTCAGGCTTGCTCTTATCCCTGCTGCCACTTTTCTAAATCATAACTATGTCTTGTAAATAAAATTAATCTCATTGAAGTATTACATAATTCATATATTCCCAGGATTAATATTTTCTTTAGAGAAAATGAATTACATTGGTAAGAAGAGGAGTGGGGGAGAGAGAGAGGGAAGGGGAAATCAGAATTGTTATTTTTAGATGTTTTGAAATGTGATCTATCCTTTAGTCTAAGATTTCCCTTCCCTTCCCTTCCCTTCCCTTCCCTTCCCTTCCTCCTTCCCTTCCCTTCCCTTCCCTTCCCTTCCCTTCCCTTCCCTTCCCTTCCCTTCCCTTCCCTTCCCTTCCCTTCCCTTCCCTTCCCTTCCCTTCCCTTCCCTTCCTTCCCTTCCCTTCCCTTCCCTTCCTTTTTTTCTTTAGGGAACCCTTCCCTCAACAGTAAGAGACAGGAGGAAAAATCATATATACATAAAATAGCTTTGTCTAGAAACTCCAAAAGAGTGCTTGGCCTTGCAGAAAAGCAGTCCTATATGAGTCTGAGGAGTGGAGGCTACAGGGTGTTTTGTGGGGAATCACACTGCTATGTAATTACAGATCTTGTATATGTATAAACAAACTCCACCTTAAGATCAGCAGAGAAAAGGCTTGCTTACTTGTCTGATGGCCAAGAAAAAATAAACTAGAGAAGGCTATAAATAGAATGAAGAATTACTGAGAAGGAAACCCTGATGGCTGAGAGAAAATGTTATTCCTTGCAAAAATGTTAGACTTCTGCTTATAAATATTTCTACATGTGCTATAAGCCTCTTTTTCTTTTGACTTTGTAACAGCTATCATGACACAGATCTTTCCTGTAGAATTTTTAGTCAACCCCCTGGGCACGCCTCCAAATGAATGCAGAAAGAGTTTAATTTCAAGATAATACTCAAAGTGTGTTTCAGACAACATGCAAGGACAATGATCAGAAATTCCAGCAACAAAGACAGCAAACATTCCTTGCCTATGTCTTTTTTTTTTTAAGGAAGGAAGGAAGGAAGGAAGGAAGGAAGGAAGGAAGGAAGGAAGGAAGGAAGGAAGGAAGGAAGGAAGGAAGGAAGGAAGGAAGGAAGGAAGGAAGGAAGGAAGGAAGGAAGGAAGGAAGGAAGGAAGGAAGGAAGGAAGGAAGGAAGGAAGGAAGGAAGGAAGGAAGGAAGGAAGGAAGGAAGGAAGGAAGGAAGGAAGGAAGGAAGGAAGGAAGGAAGGAAGGAAGGAAGGAAGGAAGGAAGGAAGGAAGGAAGGAAGGAAGGAAGAAATACAGCCTGTTACAGCCACCTGGTTCCCTATCTTCCAGAGCTCTCACTGTGACAGTCTCTAAGGGGTGATCTGCCACCTGAAAACTTGCAGACACAACTACATCATCTGCTCATAGCTCTCCTGCCTCCTAACTTAGAGCTCGAGCCAGGCAGCAGGAAGCACCTGTAAGTACTTTACATCCACCAGGGACTACCCCTCCCAGCTTGCAGTCTTCTCATCTGTCTGAATACAGTCAGGGTCCTACTCTTTCCTCCTCAGGTAGCCAGAACCCTGGCCAGGGCGCTTGTAAGCAGCCGCAGCTCATGGGATGAAGGCATTTCCTTTCTACCATAAAACGCTTAATTTACCATCACAGTCTTTTTCTCCATTGGGTATGGCTGGCAATGTATGTTTGCTCGTCTCACCCTCCCTCCTCTTCTCCCTCCTCTTTTCCACCACCCCTACACATGCTAAGCCCAGGAGGTTTCACAGGAAGGAAGAAGGAGGTTGTACGTTGTCTAAGAAGGGTTTATAAACTGCCCTTCTAGCACAGAGCTGGAATCAGGACATTGTGTAGCTGCAAGTCTGGACTAGAGGAATAGGCACAATGAAGTTAGATGTTATTGGGTGGTTCACAATGAGTAAATTAGTCTACACTACGTTAAGCAGCACATCATCACAGCTGCAATTCTCTCTCCCTTCCTCTCTGACTTTGACTATGCCAGGTAATATCCCCAAAGCGATAGACAAATGCCAAATGTACTTTGGATTATTTCATGTTTACTGCATAACACAGTCTGCAGAAACAGAGCTGGAGCCAGAGCCAGAGATGAGACTACCAACAATGTAGCTCAGATTGGAGACAGGACTGGAAACAGGACTACAACATAGGCCTGGAAAAGAGATAGGCCCATCTACAACATCACTCAGGCAATCTGGAGGCCAAGGACTGAGCTTAATGGAGCTTGTGGGCCAGCAGGCTGAGGTTGCATGGGTGGAGGCAGTGGGTAAGGCTGGTCAGGGCAACTAAGGGTTTTGGTGCACTTAAGGCACTGACCCCTGTAACAGAGCTTGTAATGTGAGGGAATTACTATCCTTTAGCAACCTAGTAGTAGTCTGTGCAGTTGCTTAACACATCTCAGCACACAGAGTCTTAAAGGGATGGCCACTCAAGAAATTGATAAGGTCTGTATGTAGATCCATATGTTAAATTTCCAGACAGCAGTTGCCATGCAGATAGTTAATGCCTGTTCAGCTACCTCCACTCACTAATCCATAGTATGCATGTCAAAACCTACTATCTTTACATAGACACACAGATCAATAGGAAAAATAAATCATATATCATGGCATCTCCAACACCTTGCCCCTTTTAAGAATAAAGCTGCAAATTGAGTATGGACATTTGCAGAAGCTTGGAAATTAAAGCCTTTAAATTAGGTTCCCTGACCTTTTATCCTGGGCTTTGAGATCAGCATATCTAACACATTGACTGGTTCTTTGAAGCCAACCGGGAAAAAAGCATCGGTTGCTTTTTTTTGGGTTCAGCTAGAGCTCTCTGTAATACTCATGGCTATATTAATCATTCAAAGCAGTCAGAACGTTCTCATTTTTTTTTTTTTTAAATCCATGATATAGCACCATCAGATGCTCCTGCATGTCTATCTGAAGGCACTGTGTCTCTGGCTAGAGAGACACTCATAGCCCTGTTTTTTAACATCTTTAACAGTAGTATTGTCTCTCTGCTGTGCTGCAGCCTAAACATAGCTTTGCAATCTAAATACAAAGTTCTGTTTTGGTACAACCAGACATTTAAAGTTTTAATCTTAAACTTCAAGTCTGAAAAACAAACCAAACCAAACCAAACAAAACAAAAAACTCATGTAACTAATGCCATTTTGAGTCAGAACCACCCTTGCTGCAATGTGTTCTATTTTATAAATCCCAGTCCTTGAGGGCAAACAGCTAATTGTTTAAATGGTGTTGTGCAAATATTCTAGACGTGAACAATCCCCCAAACACCTGCTGCTGTAGTTAATGCCTGTGCATTTACTTCTAGCCATAACATGTATGTGTATAATCTCTGTCTGTGAAGAAACATTATAGAAGTTAAAAAAATGTTCAAACCACCTTCTTCTAGCTTTTCTTTACCAAAAAGACAAAAAGAGAATGTGCAGGTAAGCACGACCTCAGAGCAAATGGTGACAGGATTTCATTCATTTTTACATACTCATGTGGCAGAAGATGCATACATAATCAAGGAATTCTATTTTGTATGGAAAAATGGCCATGCAGTGACAGGACAATAAATCACTTGCAGCCTTGACAATTTTCTGCCAACAAGATTTAATATGAAGCAGCCCACTGGCTGTGCTCTTTGCCTCCCACATGGACTAAGGAATCCTTTAGAGCCATGAGGATCAAAATGAGCACAGCAACGCCTGACCAACAACAGAGCTGTTGGCCATTCTGATTTCCTGTCCTCCCCTCTGGCACCAGCTTGCTAGGGTGCCTGACACCTTTTGAAAGCATCCCACATATGGCTTGGAGCAATAAGCAGGAGCAGAAATGAGATCTTTCACAAGCCTGAGATGGCAGTTTATGCCCAGAAGCAAAAGAACTGATAAACCTCATAATACTTTAACCTCACAAGTTAACTGCAGGTATTATTCCTATTCAAGTGCTTAATCCTACCCTGACTCTCAAACTGTTTGCCTCCATGTCCCACAGCAACAAATTCCACTGGTTGATTAGATGCCACTTTAAAGTATATTGCCTTTCAAGTGCCCTAAAGGCAGTCTACATTTCACCAAGTTGAACCAGCATGTTAAGATAAACAGAAGTGCCCAGTTAATTGCAACCCAGTCAGCTCTCATCCTGTGGAATGAGAGCTGGCCTAGTAACAAAGAACACCTAATCACAAGGATGTTCCTTGGTTTATGATGCTAGATCTCAGACTATGGAGATTAGGGTTGAGGTTCCACCATCTTAGATGGATGCGAGAAAGAATAAGGTATATGAGGCCAGGTTTTCTGAAGTGGCATACTCCTTGTTCCTGGGGAGGGAAGGTTAGTAGGAGCACAGTACTGGTTTGGAGGACTCACCACTTTAAACAACAGCTGAAATCCAGAAGTTTTCTCTCTCTATCAAAACCAAAAAAGAATACTATCATAAATATATTTTTCTTTCAGAGGCAAATCAGCACTCACAATAATCAGTATAGCTGGACCTATTCTGTTAAGCAGGAGCATTGCAATGGTAGTTTAAAAACTGAGAATCATGTCAAGTTCTTCATTACAACTCCTGCTATGTAGTTATCATCCTACTCAGGTTAGGACGATAACCTCGTATATGTCTGTAGAAAAACACAAACATTCAGCAGTATTCTTTTTGCCATGCATTTTAATGTTAAAAATCTGAGTTTCATGAAAATAGAGTTCTTAATTGAAACATGTCATTTTAAAATAACCTTGTATCTAGAAATCATTCCTAAATTTTGAATGGAATTTATGTAAAGTTTAGAGGCTGGCGGTAGCCCAAAACAGGTCAAAATTACTCTGTTTTAAAGGTTGGTAAAACTTTTTTTCTCTGACAAGAAAAAAAAGTCAACATGGATTTTTTTTTTTTTCTTTTTCTGTTTGTCAGAGATTAGAGGGCCTGGAAATGAATAAACAAATGATCACATTGAAATGAGACACCAGAGAGACACACAAGAGGCTGACCAAATAACTTCAGTATTGATGATAGCCTATAGGTCGGGACTGTCAGCTTGGAGCTGGGACATTAAAATAAATAAATAAATAAATAAATTTAAACTTCTGTTAAATCATTCTGTGCCAACACAAACAAGTGCCCTAAGTGGACAGTTCCTAGCTGTCCCAAGATGTCTTTGCACATGAGTGTGAAAATATTTTACATGGCCTTTTAGTTTGCCTTGGCCTAGCCACTGTACAAGAACCTTTCTTGAACCTCAAACACTTTCATAGGATGAAGCACATATCTTTCT